TCTTATATAAGAATCCCAAAGTGTAAATAAGATTAGAATAAAAGATAGATAATAAGAAAGTAGGGAGATAGATCTTTTGCAGTGGGAAGAAGACCAAGAAATAGGGGAGGGAGGAGAAGAGGGAAGGGGATGGAAAGATAACGGGGATGTGTCCTGTCCATGCACTGACTCCCCACAAGGAAAGTGCAATCAGCATATGCTACAAACATGGATTCATACAAAACTTAAAACAGAAGGAAAAAAGTTGCAGATATTGTGTTCCAGTGACAAGAAAGTGGCTAAAATGTACACTATTCAGAAAAATAAGACGGGTCACTTTTTCTCTCTCTTGACAATTTGTTTACAAATTAATTGCACTCCAACAAAACTCCTGGAAGGCATAAGCGCAGTAGCGCTCATTCCAGTAATAGTTAGGTCTGCTGCCAAGTCCATCAGCACAGGACGGGACAGAAGAAAATATAGCGAGCCCACACATTAACATGTTGAATAGCTGTTAAAAAGACTCGAATACATCAACAAAGAGTTACAGACTACCTACTGTGTACCAGTTCCTCAAACTGGACAGTTTCTGCTCTTGAGAGATTGCATTCTGGCCAGGGAAAAAGATAATAGATACATAAAGATATAAAAACAGGTGATGTATCATTTGCAATGCATCAGAAAATAAAATACTTAAAAATAAACATAACAAAGGAGATAAAACACTTGTAGTAAGGAAAAATGATGTCTCTTGTGCATTCACTGCAAATACTTATCCAAAAAGTCATGAAGTCTTCATCTTGGCTGTTTAAATTTACCTGAAATAATAAGAGTTCTCTTACAGGGAGTCTAAAGGAGACATGGTTTGCTGTGTCCTAGTCAGCCTTCTCCTGGTCCCACCACAGCCCCGTTAAGACACTCTCCCTCCCCACCCCCAGGAAGAGCTCTCTGAATCCCTCCAGCCCCAGCATCAAGCTGTGCAGCATGTGAAGAACAAGCACAGAAAGGCAAACTCAGCCAGAGGGGCAACACATCACACAGCTAGGTAGTCAAGGGGAGAAGCGGACTGAAAGCCATGCTGTGCGGGTGGAGCTCATGTGCCAGGTGGCCAGTGAAAAACACTGAAGGGAAAACTGGGGAGAGGTGTGTCAGTCAGCGTTCTGTCACTGTAATGAAATGCCTAAGAGAAATCAACCTAAGGGTTTACTTTGGCCCATGCTTTCAGTCCAGCTGGTTGACTCCATCACTTTGGGATCTGTGCAAGGCAGAGGTGAGGCTCCAGTGGGACAAGGCTGTTCTACCCCTGGCAGCCAGGAATGAAGGAAGGGTGCTCCTGGCTCCTGAGGCCCCCTTCAAGGCATGCTTCCAGCGACCTAGCTTCTTCCACTGGGCCCCACCACCTGCAGCACCAAGGGCTGGTGAGCAACCCTTCAACACAGGGATTTGAAGGACATTCAAGATCCAAATTATAGCAAGAAGCCGGGAAGTTTTTGTTGTCTGCCTATGAGTAGTGGGATCTCCTTAGTTATTTTTCAAATGACAAAATTAACAATTGGAATGTCTTTTTAATTATATGGCCACTGGGCTGTTGATCTTTGAAGGCAGGGCTGGGCTCCTGGGACACTGGAGGGGTATCTTACGGAGCAGAGAAGAATGCCACTGAGGATTTCACACCCAAGATCATAGCCAGCTGGACAATTATTCTCATTCTCATTCTCTCATGAAAAAGTCAGAGAGATACTGAAGAAATGACATTGCACTGGGGCTGGGGATTTAGCTCAGTGGCACAGCGCCTGCCTAGCAAACTCAAGCTCATGAGTTCGATTCCTGGTACCGGGAAAAAAAAACAAAATAAAAAGAAAAAAGAAGAAGACATTCAACTTGTAACTATAATTGTGGAGACACTGTAAAGGTTAGAAATTCATGTTCAAAGCAGAAAACAATGATTCAGGTGGCATTTTGTCAATTCACTAATTAAATAAAGATTCAAAAAGGACTTCTCCTTGTGGTGCTGCAGACATACAACTAACTTTCCACAACAATCAGGCAAATAGGCAGTTTGAACACAATGTATTTACTTTCAGTCCATAATAAAGGCATGAAAATAACAGCCATGGGATTTTTAGATGTTGGGAAAAACAAGTGAGAAAACAACAACCAAGGCTTGTCAAAGGCAAAAAAGTGGACTCCGTAGACCCACAGATATTATCTGAGCTGACACTGGGGCACAGCAAGAACCTACCGGTTTACACAAGGGGACCCATGACACCACACACCCCTTTGAAGGACAGGTATATGTTAGAATAGGGGCAATCTATTCATAACCAGATTCCCTCCTCCTCCATGCCCCAGGACTGGCTTTCACCACTCTTGAATTGGCAAATGGGAGAGATGTAGCCAACAGTAAGATTACCAAAATGGAATTTAATTTTCATGACAACATATGCTCCCAGCCAGCTCCAAAAATGCCAGCAGACAGCCATTCCCTGATGGGAGATGGGAAGATGTTTTCTGATAAATGTGGTCAGCCCAAGAGAAAATTCCCCCAACAGAATGATCCATGGAGAGGCCACTCAAGGATATTAGAAATGATACTGAAGAAGACATTTTAGAAATAGTTTGGTTGAAGGGAAAGGAGAAAATACTGCTTTCATGGAACTAGAATAGAATGTTCTAAAAGAAGAGAGGAATAGAAGGAGAGAAAGGAAGACAGATGGATAGAGACAGAGGCTGATTCAGAAAACAAAGAACCCTTTAGATTAAAATTGCAACAGCATATAAAAGGGCTGGAAGATAAATCTGAGGAAATCTCCCAAAAAGTAGAACAAAGCTAAAAAGATGGTAAGTAGAACAGGAACATGTAAGGAAGTTGGAGAGCCAGTGCAGGAAGTCCAACATCCTAGTGCTAGGAATTACAGAAAGACAAAACCAAGAAAACAGAAGGTAGAAAAGTCACAAAATAACTCCAGCAGTAAATTTGTGCATTTCTAGACTGAGTCATTCGGAAGGACCAGGTTACACAAAGGTTAAAGACAACACGGAGGCGTAGGCAAAAAGAGGACCCGACAGGTTCTGAGAGAGAAGCACCAGCCACTTTCAAAGGGCCAGAGGCTACCACGCAGTCAAACCTCTCAGCCATAAAAAAGAAACAAAAAACTGTTGGGAAAAACCTCCAAACTATTGAAGAAACATTACTTCCAATCTAGAACCTTCTACACTCAACAAGTTATCCATTAAGTAAGTGCACAATAAAGGTCAAAAATCATACCTTCCACACACCTCTTCTCAGAACATTATTGCAGAATGTAGTCCAACAAAACAAAGGAGTAAGCCAAGAAAGAGAAATTCAAGAAGTCCAATACTGGAGAGAGGTATGGGGCAGCCTTGGGATATGGCATGTTGCATGCTGTGCACATCAGCATGGGTGTGCTGTATGGTATAGGTGTGTGTGGGCTTCCAGTGGCATGGCAGCTTCTCACAAGCATTTCCTGAGCCTGTGCTATCCAGTGCTCCTGGTGTTTGCACCTCATCTGCAGGCCTCCCCCTGCCCAGGGCTCTCCCAGGTGAGGGAAGGTGCCAGGCCACTCCCAGCAGTAGCTTAGGAGCAGTGGCAGTTCTGTGACACAAGGTGCCATACTTACGGGTTCAGTGGTTCAATGTCAACAAAGTTCATGGACAAGACACCAGGCAGAGCCACACCCCTGGGACATGAGTTCGAGGCAGGATGCAGTCTCAGGGTCATGATTCTGTCCCACAGTGGTCCTGCATCCTTATCCCTGGGCTTAGGAGCAAAGCAAAATAGTGAAACTCACTGTGTACACACAGAGAAATGGTGCCTGTGATATACTCACAGATACACAAATTTTAAAAATTTGTTTAAAAGGGAAAAAGGGCTAGGAATACAGTTCAGGGCAAAGGCAAAAAAAAAAAAAATGTGACCAAAATTAATGTAATTAACATGCCATTTCTTGGTTCTGGAAGAAAACTGCATTGCTAGGTGAATCATAGGGTTGGGGGTAAATGATCTACAAATACTCTTCATTTAGTCCCTGGGGTCCCAAGGAAGCTGCATCTCCATTTTCAATGGGGAGAGGTTAACTGGTAGAGAAGGGCTGGGAGGTGAAAGCCAGTGTCTGTCCCCAGGCAGCTGCAGCTACCACACAAGCAGAGCACCACTCACGGGGCTCTTTATCCCACCAACTGGCCTGGTTTGGGTGTCCAGATTCCCAGCTGCAGAACCCAGAAAGCTGTCGGGATCCAAAGACAGGGGCTGCGCCAGCAGTGGGATTCCAGTACACTCCCAATTCTGAGCCACCAGTTCAGATGGTACTGGAAGGGAACACGAGAGGCTGTGCTGAGGCCCGCCGGCCTCTGGGGAGTGGGAAGCCAGCTGCGGACAGCTCTCCTTCTGCTGTTAGTGAGGCCTGTGTGCAGGATTTCTGCTTACCTGGATGGACAGCATCCTCTGGAATGTGGAGATTTGATCGTAAAGATGTAAATACGGCTTTGTGTCGCATAAGGCCAGGGACACACTGAGGAACATCATTAGACGACTTCACTGTTGAGCAGATACCACAGACAACAACAGGTGACAGGGGTTTTCAGCTCTTCTGTTATCTTATGGAGCTACTGTGGTATGTGTTATCCTCACTGACTAAAATGTTATTCTGACAGTACACAGCCTTAAATTTTCATTTCGTTGTAGGTTCTTATACTACTACTAAAAGCTGGGTGTGGTGGCACATGCCTGTAATTCCGGCGTTTGGGATGCTGAGGCAAGGGGGTCGCTGTGAATTTGAAGCCAGCCTGGGCTACAAAGCAAGACTGTACCCAAAAAGAACAACAACAACAAAAAAGTGAGTATGGAAAAAGAAGACGAGGGGGTAAAAAATTCTAAGAAGGCACATAATTAAAAATGACAAAAGTCATTTTATTTTACTCTGACAAATAAAACAGTTTAAGCATCATATTTCCTCCCAGTGGTACTTGCTTTGGAATGATAAAGGAAGAAATCAGAGCAGTTCAAGGTATAAATATTCATTTATTAAAGTACAGTTTGCAAACTCGATTAACAAATGTAGTTGTGAATGCACATCATTAAAATGAGATAGATCACAGAAAATTTCTCAATAAATAGATCATTTTACCTGAGAAACGTACAAATAAGTGATTTGCATAGATTTCCCATAGCTCAGCTCTCTACACCTGAGGATCAAGATGGACAAAACTATGCAAAAATAAAAATATCTATAAATGAGCTATGGGGTCAAAACGGGACGAGCATCTTTTCCTGAATAGTATTTACTTTCTGCCACCTTTTATGAAATAAAACACAACACGGAGAAAGGAAGGCTCAAGGGCTCCTCTCCCCTCGTGCTGGACACCAGGGTGTCCTCCCAGGTCCTTCCCCATTCAACCTGAGAAATTCTGGAAGATGTCGGCCACCTCCACCCAGCTCTGGAAACAGGCCAGACCCTGCTCCCGGATCTGCTTCCGCCCCTTGTTGGTGATGACCTCCCCGCTTTGTTTCACAATCACAAGCTTGGGGGTGGCTGTGACGTTGTACCTCTTCTTCAGTTCACTGCAAAGAAAAGAGGGGTGCTAGTTGGTTAGCATTTCCAGTTACCATGTCCATCCGACCAGAAGGGGCCCCTGGGCACCATCAACCACCCGCTCTTTTTCTGCCCATGGCTGCTGTGTCTGAGCCAGTCCTGACCCAGAGACCATCTGCAGTGATGGAGCTGTTCTCTGGCTGTCCTGCCTGCTACTGTGGCCACCAGCCACCTGCAGAGAGGTTTTGTGCTGAAAAGGTGGCCAGTGTGCCCAAGGAATTGAACTGTGTACTTAATGAATTATTCATTTTTTCTTTTGCAGCACTGGAGATGGAACCCAGGCGCTCCAGTGTGCTAGGCAAGCGCTCTACCTCTGTGCCGCACCCCAGCCCTGTTAATTTAAACTCAGGCTGTGGGGAGGTACTGAACAGTGCAGTTCAAAATGCACAAATAAACCCTGTAGTTGGGTTGATTTTCTGCTATCAAAAGAAGAGAAAGGTCCAGGGATATAGCTCAGCGGCGCAGCACCTGCCTGGCAAGCACAAAGTCCTGAGTTTGATTCCCAGTACCAAAAAAAAAAAAAAAGAGAGAGAGAGAGAGAAATATGAAGTACATATAATGGTATAAGTTAAAATTGCATGAGTTCTAAATACATTCAAAGTCTTATGAGAAAGTCCACCTGACAGGCTGAATGATGTACCAATTGACATGATTACAGAGGAAACATTTCTTAGCTCCATTTTACCAACACCTGTAACCCAGTGCCCTTTTTACAAAGTTGTCTTAATTCATTTAGAAAAAGAAGCACCTGCCCCCTCAACTTGGCTCCTCATCAGCTTCACGGGGATTACCCCTTCAGGACAGGCAGCCGGGGAAATCCCTTTCCTGTCTGTCATGGCCAGGTCACAAGGCTTCACCGTTAATGTAATCTGATTTCCTTCATCCTCAGGACTGGGACCGGAGAGGAAGGAGAAACACACTTGGGACTCTCCTGTTACTAAACTTCCTCTGCAGCATCTCCAGTGAGGTCTCCCCACTGCTTCCCACACCCAGGCCAACAACAACCCTCCACAGAGTAAGGAGAAAGGGACATATTCCCCACATCCACCAGAGAACATCTGTGAGGCCACGACAAAGCCAACCCTATGTACAAAGGGAGTCTTACTAAATTTCAAATGATTAGTAGTGTGCAGACTACCTACCCACACTATTATATACTGGAATTGGGAACCAATAAGAAATCATGTTTAAGAATGGGTTTAAACCCAGCATGGTGGTGTGCACCTGTAATGCCAGCATTCGGGAAGTTGAGGCAGGAGGATCACTGCAAGTTCGAGGCCAGACTGGCATACATAGCAAGACTCTGTCTCAAAACAAACCAAAAAGAAAAAAAAAAAAAAAAGGATGGGTTTAAAAACTGTATGGTGTATGTGAAATAACCACATAGAATACAAAATATTTAGCCAGCCTGGTGACACACACCTGTAATCCCAGCACTCAGGAGGCTGAGGCAAGAGGATCACCATGAGTTCGAGGCCAGCCTGAATTACATAGTGAATTCAAGGCCAGCCTGAACTACAAAGCAAGACCCTATTTCAAAAAAAAAAGATTGAAAATATCTAAAACAGAACAATATGAATGTATGATAAGCCCTTCATATCTGAGAGTTCCACATCTATGGATTCAACCAATTACAAATTGAAATATTCAGAAAAAAAGAATAATACTTATACTGAGCATAAAAAAGACTTGTTCTGTCCATTGTTCTCTAAACAATGCAGTCTGACAACTATTAATAGAACATGTCCCTTGTTTTAGGCATGGCAGATAATGTGGGAACGATTGAAAGTGTATGGGAGGATGTGGGTAGGTTACACACAAACCCCACACCACGGTATACAAGGGGTTTGGGCCCCTTGGGCACTGATACCTGCAGGTGTTCTGGTACAATCCCCAGATACCAAGGGATACTGTACTACGGGGTGTGATTAAAAACTATGATCAGCATTTACATGTTAAAAATTTATTGCAGTAAAAATCACATTGCCTTTAATCCCCCTCAAACTACCCACACACACTCTTCAAACACTTGTCCATCTTGCCCTGCTTTTTTTTTTCTTTTTTTTTTTTTGGTACTGGGGATAGAACTCAGGGCCTTGTGCTTGCCAGGGAGGCACTGTGCCACTGAGCTATAGCTCAGTCTTGCCATTTCCTAAAGCAGTTCTGGACGTCCTTGTTCAGAGCTTTTGCTGAGCTGTCATGGTTGCCTTCATGTCCTGACTCGACTCCACGTTTAGTTTTCATTTTGACTTTGGGAAGAGCCAGAAGTCACACAGTGCCAGATGTAGCAAGTAAAGTAGACGAGGACACACCATGATGTCTTCACAAGCCCGATGTCTTCACAACACCATGATGTCTTCCCAGAGAAGGTACTTAGCAGCAGCAGTCATCGTATTTTGTCTCATCATATTTTTCATCACACCTTGTGAAGACACTCATGAAAGAGGACTTGCAGAACTGCTTCAGAAAATGGCAAGAATGATGGGATACGTGTGTTTGAAGTGAGGGGGAGTGTTCTGAGGGGGATTAGTGACAATATGTCTTTTAATGTAGTCATTTTTAAACACCATAAATGTTAGTCATACCTTGTACAAATCATAAGCTGTAGATACATCCAGATACTTTTAAGAAGCCATAACCTTAAATACACATATCCAAAACACATACACCCTGTAGTCCCAGCCCCTGAAAGGCTAAGGCAGGAGGATCACTTGAGCCCATGAGCTCAAGATCAGTTTGGAAAGCACAGCAAGACCCTGTCTTAAAAACAAAAAAAAAAAAAAAAAAAAGCAACAACAATAACAAAAAAGATGAGTTATGTATTTAGCTCAAGGAGCTAATGATGAAATAACCACAAAGAAAGTAGAAAGAAGGGAAAATAAGATTTATAGTTAAAAAAGGAAAGTGGAGTAGTGGCAAACGCCTATAATCCCTGCACTTGGGAGGCTGAGGCAAGAGGACCACTAAGAATCCAAGACAGCCTGGGCTACATAGTAAGACTCTGTCTCAAAAACAACAACAACAAAAAATGAAATGAGCCAAGAAAAATCAACTTGAGGTAAACAATAAAACCCAGTCTCGTTCTTTGGAAATACTAAAAATATTCTTTGGAAATACTAAATGCATACAAATCTCTATGAAAAGGGGAGTAACAGAAAGAAGACACCAGGATAGCAGGAATCAGGCAGCACTCACCAAAATGTAGTGAGCAGTCACACCTCCTTTAGGGACACCCAGCTGTGGCTTGGCCGGGGACACCTCACAACTTCTAGTACAGCCTGTTTTCCAAGAAACTATGCACATGGCCTCCACTCCGATGCTCAGAAGCCATTTCTTGTGATGTCTAACCACACAGGCATGCAGGAATGAAAAGGAAGAGCAGAAGAAATGCATACAAAAGCCGCCATACTGGGTGACAGGTGTGGTTCAGTGGCAGAGTGCTTCCCTAGCATGCATAGGGCCCTGGTTTCCTTCTCCAGTACCAAGGAAGAAAGAAAGAGAGAAAGAGAGAAAGAGAGAAAGAGAGAAAGAGAGAAAGAGAGAGAGAGAAAGAAAGAAAGAAAGAAAATTATACATAATACAAAAGACCCAACAAAGGCAACCGTGCTAAAACTACACTTGAGAGCTAACAAACCAAAGCCATGCACACAGGATACAAGTTCATGTCAAACTACAAGTTTAGGAGACTTGGGTCCTCTCACCATCAAACTGAGCCTAAGAAAGCTCAGCCAGGTGGGGCTGACACAGGTCTGGAAAGACACCCTGGACCTAAAAGATATTTCAAAGGAGATATACTTGCCAAGGTCTTAGAAAGCTGCATAGCTTTTCTCATGAAATCTGAAATGTCTAGGAAACTGGCTTTCCTCAGAGGCATAAAATCAAAAAATAAAGAGGAAAAAAACCCAAAGAGCTCTTTGTATAAAGACTGCAGCCAGCGAAATGTGGTGGCGCATGCCTGCAACCCAGCACTCAGGAGGCTGAGGCAGGAAGATCCCTGCAAGTTTAAGGCCAGCCTAGGCTACATAGTGAGTTCAAGGCTATCCTGAACTACATAGTGTGACTCTGCCTCAAAAAAAACAAAAAAAATTTAAAAAATAAAGACTCCAGCCAAAGTGCAGGGCTCAGGTAGTTTGGGCAAATAGGTCACTGGGTACCTGAGCTCAGGCACAGGACAGGGTAGAACCATGTTTCAGAAAGGGAAGCCAATGGTCCTGCTGAGGTTCCCAGTGACTGGGACCTCATCTTCCAGGCCAAGAGGATACCCTGCAGAGCATCTTGGGCACTGAAGAGACAGGGAGCCCCCAAGCCCTCCAGGGCCGAGGCAGCACTGGCATTCCTGACAGGTTCCTGGTGACCTATGCACCATCTGCCATTTCTCAACCTGGGTACCCAGACAGCAGCCTTAGCATGACCACAGGACCCGTAAGGAAGTGCACCCTTCCTGACCCTCAGGGGGAGCACCAAGATCCAGCAATAAAAGCCCTGCATGTAGCTGGGCATGGTGGTGCACACCTATCATCCTAGCACTCTGGGAGACTGAGGCAGGAAGATAGCAAATTCGAGGCCAGGGAAGGGTCTGTGTATGTAGCTCAGTGCAAGGGCCCTGTGCTCAACCTTCAGTACTGCAAATATAAATAAAAGCCCCAAGTAGCATATGCATACTCAGGTGTGCCCACCTGGAGGCATCCTCCCAGGGCTGTCTGGACCCTTCACTAACTTGGAAGAGGGAGAAGTAACAGGTGGTGAGGAGCCTGAGGTGGGACCTGGGTACCACAGGCAGCAGAGGGCTTTCTGCCCCCCATCCTGATGTTCTTCAGAAGCCTTAGCTCCTGTCTTCCAGCACGCACTGACTGTGTGACGTAGACAAGTACTTAGCCTCCTTGGGCCTCGAATTCTTTACCAGCACCATGGGAATAACAGGACTCCTGGGTGTTTATCAAGATTAAATGATCAGAGCCAGGAGTGCTGGCACATGCCTGTGATCCCAGCACTTAGGAGACCGAGGCAAGAGGATCGCTGGGTGTTTGAGACCAGCCTGAACTACACAGTGAGACCCTGTCTCAAAAAAAAAAAAGAAAAAAGATTAAATGATTCATATGTGAGCAGCTTAGAGAAAAATAGAGCTTGCCACATCATAAGTACATAATAAACACTGGCTGCTCCTACTGGGTGGGAAGGACAAGGACCTACCTCCAATGCCAGCTGAGCTGTCTGCTCAGTCAATATAGCCCCTGCCCACACTAACTAGCATAGGAATGGGTAGCTAGCAGACCCAGAACTAGTGAGACACTGCAGAACACTTGCTTATGTGCTGAGAAAAAGAAAGGTATGAGGATGTACAGTCTGAGATACTGCAGCCATTCTGCCACTGTGAGGGGACTGGATTTGCCAGGTAGCTACGGCCTGTAATCTGAGCACAAAGCAGATATAGTGGAGGCAAGTCACAAAACTGCATTCTTGGGGCCACTGGGGGTTAAAACCACCCCATAACCTTTACTGTGCAAGCTCTTCGGGTGGCTGTAGCTGTTACTTTCATGACTTGCAACATTAACTGAATTCTGACCCAGGAAGAAGGCAAGGGAGGATTTGAGGAGTAAGAAGAGAACTGAGCTGGTCACAGAGCTGTCTTTGCTTATCTTGAGATTCCGTGAGGCCCTCACACCCTCACCCTGGCACCCCTCGCTGAAGACATACTTGCCCAGAGACAAACGCACCCTTGGTCCTGCAGGTGGAGACCCACCTTCCCCTACAGCAGCACCCACAAAGAACAGAAAATGCTGCCGGCATCAGCGTTTTAAGCATTTCAGGGACATCTAAGAGCCTCATCCGTCCTTGTCCACATGTCTCTCCCTTCACCTGACGTGGCCACATCTCCTCCCTGACATAATGCATATGGGTTGCCGTGGCAACTTGACTCTGCCCGGTTTCCATCTCGGAGGGCAGAACGCTGTTGCCAAGCAAATCCCTTGAGTGTGTTTTCTTTTACTCACTTTTTCCAGCCAACCATCAGGCGCACACCCTGTGGATGCCGAGTGCTAAACCACACCTGGCACAGGCTGTGGGCAACAGGAATCAGCAGGTAACAAGCTCTTAGCTCTCAGGAAAGGTAGTACAAGGGCCCCTCCCCTCCTCATGGGATTCCTGTGACATCAGTGTCCCAGGCCCTCCTTTCGGTGGCACCAACCACAAAGTACGGTGTATTACACACATTGACAACTTCCCCAATGCCTCCTGGGTGCTTCACGCATTTTCTGTTCTTCTTGGTGGTTGCTCTTCCCATTTGACTCATGATCTGACTTCATAAATCCAGGCCTGGGATAAGCAGAATTTAGGGTGCAGTTCCCACAATGCCATGGAATATCCCACTTGCTAGTTCACAAATAGCAGTAACAGGATTAATGAGGTTCATTCAGTCCAGAATGGTGTAGAGACTAAGAGTTAAGTTCACAAAAAGCCAATTCCCCCTGTGGACAAAGACTGGGGATGGGGGTAGGCAGAGCCCTGCACCAGTGCTGGGAGTGAGTGGCTCACCTGCTGCCAGCTGGGGCACAAACAGGGAGAGAGAATGCTGCATGGACCTGAAAATGATGCCTTTCCTGAAAAATCCATGTGCCCCTGGAGCCTGAGGCTCGCTGTACAGAAAGATGGCTCGAGTCAGGAGAACCGGACTGTGCACAGCTCTGGCACATCCTTAAAATGGGACAAAGACCAGAGTGCTGATCTGCGACCACCCCACACTTCAAGGAGCCCTTTCAAAGCCAGGCTCACCCCCAGGGACAGCTGAGCACGGTGCCAAACAATGAAACACCTGCCTACCTACCCCAGGGGATCCCAGGCCTGCCTCTCTTGGGAACTGAGCTCCTGCCTAATTACTACACCACCACGTCTCACCTTCAAAACAAGTGTGCCCTTTCAAAAGCTGCACATAACTCAAGTGCCAGAGAGCTGAATCATGTCCTAAAATGCACCACTTACCACTCGAAGTGATGCTCTAATGAGCCCTTATGCAAAGTTAATCAGGCACCATTACAGGCTCACTGTCAGTAAGCCTTTGATCTTCACAAGCCTCCAGCACAGGTCTCAGGCTGAGCAGTGTCACTTCCAAACCTAAACTTCTATTCTTCCTTTCCCAGAAAAAAAAGTCATCTCACAGTAATTAATGTTGGTGGTAACACCATAACTGAAAAGCCCAGGCGGACTTCAAACAGTACCCATCTAGGCAAGGAGGCCCCGGTGGGGGAAGGGGCTGGGACAGCGCGCTTCAGCAGTGCGATTTCAACCTCACTCTCCACTCAAGTCACAGGAGACCTCACAGCAACCCCAGCAATCACCCCTGCCCGCAGTCCTGCCTGCTCCTCCAAGCTGAGTCACGAAGTAAGAAGTCAACCTCGTTCAACTTCCTGCTCAGGCACAAGCTCAGAAGCCCAGCGAGCTGTTTCACAAGGGCCCTCGAGGTCCCTTCAGAGAGCAGACTGCTGTCATCCCTGACCTCTCCCTCCACCAGGGTCTTTCCTCATTTATAGTAAGGAATTTTACATCTTTGTAGTTATGAAATTCCATCACTGAGGGTAAAAAACGGGGTCGTGAAAGTGGTAAGCATCTGAGTTTCTCCAGCCCTGGCGCCCTCACAGCCCCGGCGCCCTCACAGCCCCGGCCTCCAGGGCAGTGGTCCCCGCGCCCCGCAGCAGATCTACGAACCCCAGGGCGGGTAGCCCAGGGCCCACGCCCAGCAAGCCCAGGGGATGCCCTGTGCAGATCAGGCAATCTGGGGAAAGTTGGAGCAGAAGCTGTCACTGTCACCGACCTGCTGCAAGGGAAGGTTGGGAAGGAGCCCGGGAGGGACGGCTGAAAGTGAGCCGGGTGCAGGAGGGGAGGCCTGGGGACGCGGGCCACGCGCTTGCGCGCACTCACTGCCGGTAAGGGTCGTGGAAGGGCAAGGCCAGCCAGGCGCCGTGCAACTCGCACATGAAGTCCAGCATCTCCTGCGCGCTGCCGTCCGCCGACACGAAGACCACCTCGAAGGGCGCCGGCCGCCGCGCCTCGCCCACCAGCGCGGTGTAGAAGTCGCAGAGCAGCGGCGTGAAGTCGCGGCTGGGTGCGCACCGGCCCGCCGCGAAGTACAAAGCCACCACCTTGTTCTGCAGCGCGACCTCGGCCTCCGCCATGGCGCCCTCGCGGGTCACCAGGCGCCGCCCGACTAACACGTCTACCATAACGCGGGCCGGCGGGCGGCCACCGCCGGCGGGGACACCTGCGGAGGGACGGTCAACTGGGGCGGGAATATCCGTGCAAGGACGGTCACCCGTGAGCAGGAAACACTTGAGGAAGGAGGGTCACCGGAGGGCAGGTGACACCTACAAAAGGATGGTCACGTGAGGCAGAAGACACCTGCGGGAGGACGGTCACCGGCGGGCAGGCGATCGTAAGCCCCGGCGCTCCGCCTCCCTCGGCACTGCCCGGCGCCCAGCTGCGCTGGGGTATGGCGGCTGTGGGGATCACAGCCCAGGTCTTCCCTGAGCTGGGAGAAATGGGGTCTGCGCCGGGGAAGGGACCCTCACAGAAACCGGAGACCCCAGGTGCTACCGCGGCAGCGGCGACCTAACTCACCCACCTGCAGGAGCAGAGCCTGCCAGACCAGCTGGTCTGCAGCCTTGCGGAGCACGGAGACGCCCCGCCCCACAAGCCCCGCCCCTGGCGCCCGGCCCCGCCCACCTCCTACCACGCTGCCGCAGCTCCTCGCGCGGTGCTCGCGGGTGCACTTGAACCCCGCCTGGAGTTCAGGCCCTAGTCCGGAGCGCAGAGGCTGAGAGGACCGGCAGCAGAAGGGCGCTCAGCTCAGCTGAGGCGGGCGTGGCGGCGGGTGGGGAGTTTGGGCTTCTGGGGTGGGCGTCGGTCCCCGCACCTTAGGTCTTGGCTGGAAGGGTTTCTGGGCTTCAGGGAGAAATTGGGAGCGGGTCACAAAGAGATCAAGAGTATGGATTATGTGGGGCTGGGATGTGGCTCCTGCGAGCACTTGTCTAGCACGCACAAGGCCCTTTGTTCCATCCTGGTACGGCCAACAAAGAGAAAAAAACATTAATTAAGTGGCAGAAACTGCGGGGGCCCTGTGGTTTCCACAGTGAGCAAAGGTTTGTGCTCCCTGCCAGGAGGGCGGAGGGGGGGGCTTGCTTGGGGGCGACTAGCACCGTAATGAACTACTGCCAAAGTCGTACAGTAGGGTACAAACTCGGAATTAATCCCAAAAAGCGCACAGTGAACAAAAGAAAAATTAAAGACAGCGAAGGAAATCAGAATATGCCCCTTTGGCATATGCTTATTTTGACCAGAAAGCACTTGAAAATAAACAAATGCAGGAAGAGGCCTCCCCCTCAGCTGCCTAAGGACAGATTCTCCTGAGAAACTAGAGGCCCGACGGGGGCGCACACATGTCACCCCAGCACTCGGGGTGGAGAGCTCGGACGATCCGGGGGCTTAGGGAGGCCCTGCCTCAAAATTTAAAAATGATCCAGAGGAAGCTCAGCGAATGAGAGAGAGAGAGAGAGAGAGAGAGAGAGAGAGAGAGAGAGAGAGAGAGAGAAAGGAAGGAGGAAATTGTCGGAAAGGTCATGCTCGTCTCCTTTGGGTGGGTTACATCCTCACCCCCTAGTGTTATTGCGCATAAAATCCCATCACTCTTTTGAGTATTCGCGTTTTCTTTTGTGTGTGTGTGGTTTTTTGAAACAAGGTCTCTCTATGCAGTTCAGGCTGGCCTTGAGCTCACTTTGTAGCCCAGACTGGTCTCCAACTCCCAACAATCCCCCTGCCTCAGCCTCCCAAGTGCTGGGATTACAGGCGTGAGCCACAATGCCCGGCGATTTTCCCCCTGTGATGTTCTCGTGCAAGTGGTATTAAAAGTTAATAAATGTGCTCTCCCTTTCCCTGTGAATCTGCCAGTTGTCAATCTCGTAGTAGATCTCGGGTTCATTGGTCTCTCTTCCCCTGCAACTGGGTTCACCCCACCCAGGCTGTGGAAGCCCACGCTCCCCTGCCCTTGAGGCCCCGAGCCCCGCCCCTGCTTACTTTGCAGCGCATACCACAGCAAATAAGAGAGGTGTTCAGTCCAGGCCACAGAGGAGCGAGGGCGGAGCAGAGCGCGAAGAGGGGCAGGTGAAAACCCACCGGTAGCTCTGCTCCCCGCAACACTGGCTCCCTCCAGTCTCAAAGCTAAGTGAAACGGAAATTTGCGAAGGTGGTTCCCCGTGACTCCGCCGGTTGTGCAAATGCACTTGGCCTGGAAATCGGGGCGGAGACTGGCCAAGCAGCGGCGTGGGGGTGGGGTGGTGTCTGCGAGGCGCGTTGTCCTCCCTCAAGACCAGAGGAAAAATGCGCAGAGGTCAGAACTGAGGCGCCGGGAGTAGGTTGTACCTTTCATACTGAGTCCCTTCCTCCGGTTCAAACGCTGAAACATGCGGGAGGGAGCGAAGAGGGATGAGGAGGGTGGATTCAACAGGAGGACTAGCTTCTAACGTCCTAATAGCTTCTAACTGCACAGGAAGAAAGACGGTTGGCAGCAAAAAACTGGATATTTAAAAAACCTCGGTTTTAGATGTTCCCAGCACAAAGAAATAAGGTGTATCTGTGTTGAAAGGTGTGCCAGTTACCCTGAGCTGATCATTACACGTGTTCTACATCCACTGAGATATCACAGTGTGCCCTAGAAAAACGTGCAACTTTTATGTGTGAATTAAAACTAAGAGTAGGCTTTCAAACCGAAAGAACCACATTGTGAGGGGGAAAATAACTCCCAGCCTGATAGATGTCAAATGTGCCCAAGTCTTGTCTCCCGAATATCAAAGAATGGAATTTGAAGGCAAAGGAGGGTGAGAGTAGAAAAGGTCTCCTGAGAATGATCCTGAGGGACAGAAGGGGTCCCGAGTGGATGGACGATGAAGCTCCTTCTCCAAGGATGTTTTATACAGCGAAATCATACCGTGGGTCAAACCGCGGTCAACCTGCAGCATTATAAGTGTAATCACCGAACTGTACTGGTCCACAGGGAAGCGAGGCTCGCAGCCAGGGTGCACCAGGGAATCCTTACCGTTAGTTTATTGGTGACCTCTGTATAGAAAGAGCAAAGGCATTCCTGGAAAGGAACAGGAGGGTGGGTCCAGATGACCCGGTCACCCACCTGTGACTCTGATGCTTATCTAGGCTCACTCTGAGGTAGGAGAGAAAAAATAAAAAGTAGGTAGAAAGGAGACAAGGAAATCAAGATTTTAAAACTGCACTTTTAAGAAAAACTGCAAGACAAGTTGGCTCCTCCTCCTTCCCATCCTAGCGTGTCACCCCCTCCTTCTCTCCTTTCAAAAAACAGTGTTAAATTCCTAAAATTCCTTTTACAATAGCCTACAAATTCCTGGGCACAGGACCTGACCTTTTCACCTACAAATTGCCTTTTCCTCCAGCCCAAAAAGCAATAACAACACTGGTGGCTGCATATCTCAGCTTCAAACAACACATCAACTTCACTTGACAGATCTTCACTTCCAACACATACAGATGGCTCCCACAACGGCGACAGACAGTGAAAACTAGGTCACCTACAGTCGTGGTGTGTGTCTAAGTGTCCCCCCCAAGCCTCATGCAGTCATGGAGTGGGCTTCTAGAGTTTATGATTGATTCATGGTCCAACACTGGGATTATGGGTGTGAGCGCTACACCTGCCCTGGGGCAGCATAGTTTGCATACAGTATAAGGGAGGGAAAGAGGCTTGCTCTTGCTGCTCCTCCCTTTTTGCTCTTGCTGCTTTTGCTATTTTCCGCCACCATGAACTGTTGCCCTCTGCCATGTGCCACCCTGCCTTGGAGCCAGCTGAGTATGGACTGAAGCCTCCACAAACTGTGAGCTAAATCAACCTTCCTTTCCTTAATTTTGGGTGTCAGGTATTTTGTCTCAGCAACAGGAGGCGAATAACCAAGACACCTACCTTAAACACACCTCTTTAAATGTGCCCTCCTCCAGTTTATAATGCATCCCACTTCTCTGCAGGCCCACACCCCATTCTTGAATGCATCCTACAATCTCTGTCTAATAAATCCTACTCATGCCTCTTTCTAACCAGTGCTAGAAATTATTTTTCTTTGACAAGAGTCAACAAGCCTACAAACTTATTTTGAGAGGGTGAGATAGGTTCCTTATTTCAACCTCAGGGATCTCATAAATCCAGCCAGGGACAACCAGACCAAGTGATGCTAATTCCAGTGCAACCTCAAGCCCCTGTTTATCACAGGCTGGTCTCCACCCTGAGGCCTGTTCCTCTGCGGATGCGCCTCCAGCCTCAGCTGTGATGTCTGCTCATGGTCTGCACTGACTCCCTTGAGGGCCCAGCCCTGTTTGCCTGCATATTAATTTCTATCTAACTTGGCTGTCGATAACAATATGGAGCTAAGTTCAAAACATCACTCAGACTATGTTTTGATTTGTTTGGCCTATAATCTCTGACCATGACAGAGCACACTGTATTTAGTTAAAAATACCACTCATAGGGCCAGGGATGTAGCTCAGCAGCACAGCACCTTCCTGGCAAGCACAAGGTCCTGAGTTCGATTCCCAGTAACAAAAACAAATTCAAAAAACAGTGCCACTCACCCCAGAAATTCCCGTCACTTGCATGGCTGAGGGAGAGGTGCGTGGGGGCCGTCACCACTCAGGGAGGGGCTGAAGCAAGGAGGTGCTCCAGGGTGCTATGACCCTGTGGGGACAGCCAGCCAGCCTGCCCCAGGACATTCTCCTTGCCCTCCTCCTACAGTCCTTGTGTAAGCCAGGAAGTGTGTAATAGGGATTTCCAGGCAGGGCCTGCAAGTGGGGAACTAAAAGCAGAACCAAGCTCAGCATCTCTGCTTCATTGATTGGCTGTCTGTGTGCTTCAGTGCCTTAAAACTTTGGGTCAGATCCCTGCTCAGCTCTGCGCATAGATATCCATAGTCACTGAAGCACGGGCTGTCCAAAAATTAGTAGTATTATAAGGTTGATTAGCTCTGAATTTACCCATGTCATCTCTCTTCCAGACTGAGGATGCCAAGATAAGAGTATAAAGTCATTCTCAAGATTTGCTGGGATATTCAATTGCCAGTTGTTATAACAATCCTGTTCAGACCCCCAGGCATGGGTGTGCAGAAGCCTCTTACCATTGTCCCAAGTCTGCAGTCTCCTTACATTCCAGTGAAAGCAGTCTCAAGACAAATTGCCCCGGTGAGATCATCTCTCCAACCTGAGCAACTACCCCCTGATAGGACTCAGATAATCCCTCCCCAGGTGTGAACAGTCATCTCCTAGGAATCAGACTGTCCTCTCAGCCTTAAGGAATTCAGAGCCACCCTAGAGAACCAGTCCTCAGATAACCATCAACCAGACTGCAGTTTTGATATATGGATGATATAGGACCTCTGAATAATCTAAAGAGTATATGGGAAATATGGCAATGCTTAACCTGTTAAATGCCCCATAGGCGAATTTGTGCTCTCTAATGTCAAAGAATGAATTTTAAGGAACAGTGGAGGTTGAAAGTAAGAAACATTTACTGAGGGAAAGACAGCTTCTGTCTAAGAGACACAGAAGGGGACCCAGGAAGTGGGTTGCTGTGGACTCCACTTACAGGGAAAGGTTTATAGAGCAAAATCACCAGGAAGGTACAAGGTGGGACAAAACTAGAATCAACCAATGAGATTACAACTATAGTCATTAGGTAATACTGATGCAGTGGGGAAGCAAGTCACATAGCAAGTATAAGTGGAAAGAACAGGACCTTCCCTGGAAGGGATGGGTCAGGGTCCTTGTCCCCCACCCAGGTGATTGGTGCCTGTTTACAATATCAGTCATTATAGTTTATTTCTGGGGAAGTAGGTGCAGTCATTTCATCTTTGTCTTGAGGCCTAGCCTTCAAGGAATGCTCCTGCAGCCACAGTTGTAATACGCTCTCATCTTCTGCACTGGCTCCTTCAAGGGTCTAACCCTGTCTGTCTACAATATTTCTAAATAACGTAGCTATCCATAATAATAACAGGAGAGCCCTCTTCCTGTGTGTGCATGGAAACTCTGGGGACAGCTCAGCTGGTTCACTCACCTCCAGTTTTCAAGGACATCCTCAAGGTCATCCTGGCAACCAGCCTTCAAAAGGACTTTCTCAGGGTCATTTGCCTTTTTAGCCTACCTCTGACCTCTCAGTTAAGTTGAGACTACGGTACAGGCCAAGTCAGTTCACACCAAGTTTCCAGGGCAGGTTAAGTGGCCAAGAGTGACATCTGCAACCAGCTTTACATGCCCAAGACAGCCAGAGGGAGTGGCAGTGAGTCCTACTCCAATGCTGGCACGAGCAGCCCAGGGGACACCTCTCCTCTCACTCTGCCATGATTTTTAAAATGTTTTATGTCATATATTCCACCCCACTATGCCCTCCCCACATCTTAGTCCATTTTCTGCTGTCAATAAAGCAATACCACAGACTGGGTAAGTTACAAAGGATGTTCATTTGGATTCACAATTCTGAAGGGGTCACAAGGGGGTCATACTGGTGATGGCCTTCTCACTGGCAGAGTCCCAAGTCAGCAGGGGGCATCAACACTGCAAGAGGCAGGCAGTGCGTGTGCCTGTGCCTGTGCGTGTGCGTGTGTGTTTCTTCCGGTCTTTCCTCCTCTTTTTACAAAGCCGACAGGATTCAGTCATGGTATTCCACCCCATGATCTTACCTGATCCTAGTCACCTCCCCAAGGCTAGCCCTCTGAACACCACAGTCAAATTGAGTTTCCAACCCCTTAACATCTCCCAATGAGGATTTAAATGTTAACACTGGAACCTTGGAGACTTGTAAACCCTGTCCATATCATACCACCCATTCTAACTTCAAGGCGATCTTTTCTTGTATTTCCTCCTGTCTGATCATAGCTATGACAAGGACTCACTCCTTGACAACCTCAGGTAGGCTGCCCCAATCCTCTTTCCAACTAGGACCCCGAACTCATTCCTTGGCTATAAATCCCCACTAGGTCTTATTTGGAACTGAGCTCAGCTCCTTCCTCTATTACGAAAGTACTAAGACCTGCATTTTTTGCCTTTGACTAGGCTCCAACTGTTTCTCTTCAGCCATTATCAAAAGCTGGGACACTATTAGCAAAAGCTGTGGTTGGCTTCTTGCTGTGACATAGGCCAAAAGTCACAATGTGGCTGGATAGTCAGGTCTTCA